GGGTTTAGGGTTTCGGGGTTCAGGATTTAGGGTTTAGGGTTTAAGATGTTGGTAGGGTTTAGGGTTTAGGGATTCAAGTTGAGGATTTTAGGGTTAAGGGTTCATAAGGTTATCTAAGGATTATAAAGGTTTGAGGTTTGGAGGTTCAAGGTTTGGGGTTAGGGTTCTTGCTGAGTTTGGGGTTTGGTGCCAGTTTAGGGCTTCTAGGATTCTAGGACTCATGGTGAGACGCTGAGGGATTTGGAGCAACCATACCCTCAAGCACTGGCGCGGTATCCGTGCATCTCCTCGCCTGGAAACATGTACCCCTCAAACCCTAAACCCCTCCCTAAACTCCTAAACCCTAAACCCTCTGTACTACGCCTACCCATTTAAGGTTTCGCTCCGATTGTTGCCGGCTTGCGCGAAGGCCTCTGATAACCAGATTGTGTTGGAACCATCCTTGCAAACTTACGGGAAGACTCTGAAAGAATGGGAGCTAAAGGGGCTAAAGGAGCGCGTGAGGGTTCCGTTTACAAGCCTGTGAGAATCATATAGAATCATGTCTTTTTGGTGTCTCTCTGCGGTTGAACCCTCTCTTCCTGGCCTTTGCCATGTTGGTTAAGATGCCCATGACGTGACCAAAGCTTACGGATTTGCCCCTTAGATATATACTTACACTTCGAGTAAGTACCATGAGCAAAGGTCTACAGTCCTAGAGACCCCTTTATAAAGGCTAACATTACCTCATTTTGACGCTGAAGCCTCGAGTCCGGGTTTGGGAAATATCTGGCTTAGCCAGCCTGGAGGAAGCCATGCAGCGTGCTTTGAACCCTATTTCTCGAGAAAACCTGATCCCCGAAACCCTTGCCAAGACACGCATCAATCGGCGCTGTAGCCGGTCCAAATTTGTTGCAGAAACACGGCCTCTCTCCAAGAAGCGCGAAACCTCAGACATTTTGAGCTGAGGCTTCAAGAAGGTTTTTTCGTTGCACCGAAAGGTTCGAATGCCGATAATGGGTTCCCTGCAATTTCTCTGCATCTATCTGAATAAAAACAGCTGAAGGGCCTAGGGGACAGGGTTAGGGCGCGGTTTTCTTGATCTCTGATTCAGAATCCCGGCTCAGCAGATACCACCGGCGTGTACGCCAAGGGAACCTAGGGATATGAACGTGTTTAGGGTTCAGGGTTAAGGGCGAAGGGTCCTTAACAATGATGTGGGGATCGTCTCTCATACCCGAGGTCCTGTCACCGCCATGCAGACAATTCGGGCAGCTGCGTGCGGAGCGAAAGCTTAGGGTAGAATGCCTCCAAAACATTGGGGGTTTAGAGCTTTGGGTGAACAATTTAACAAGGAGCACAGTCTGCTGCACAAATGGTGCCGAACATGTTCCAAGGCTTTAGGCATTACCAAGAATGATGAAAAACCCAAAGGCCGCCGCCCCAACCCCCCCCACTGCTTTCTTCCCTAACATTCCTATGAAGCCTGGGAGTTAGGGTCTAGGGTTAGACCCTGAAGCGTGAGCCCTAAACTCTGAATCCTACAGCCTCAACCCTAGTCTAACACCCTGAGCCTCAGCCGCTCTTGCCCATAGATCCGAGCCCTTCAACCCTCAGTCCTACATCCTACACCCGAGACCCTACACCCTGAGCCCTCGGCCCTCAACCCTGAGCCCTAAGCCCTAAATCATAAGGACTCTAACCCAAAACCCTAAACCCTAAATAGTAGTTTCCATTTTCTTTTCCATCATCCCTATATAAGCCCAATAATATACCCCATGTGCTATCTACTTAGGGGGGACTATAGCCCCTAAATCCTAAGCCCTTATATCTAAACCCTAGCCCCTAAACCCTAACTCCTAAGCCCTTATACCTAGACCTTGCTTTACGTTGAGCAGCCTCTTCTTCGACTGCTGCCTTGGGAAAGCCATGCGTCTCTAGCTCCCGCGTCCTTGATCTTGGGCTTAGAGGCTTTGGAGCAGAAAAGGCTTACTGGTTCTTAGTAGGGAATAAGGGAATATGAGCCCTAGAATAATCTGTTCCCAGGTTCTCTACTAAGAACCAGTAATTAGAGGGTTTTTGGGGGAGGGGTTGGGGAACTACGCCTTCGTCTTCCAACTTTCCACACTGCTCAAATAAGTTACGCGGCCGTGAGGGGGTACCCGCCTGCAAACTACCCACCTGTAGATGGCTTGAGTTATGTGCGAAAAAAATCTTCGGCACAAACATGTCGAAACAATGTTACAGGTGGGATGACGACATCTTCTAGACCCTAAACCTTCACTTCAACTCTAAACCCACAAAAAGCTCGTCATCTGAGGTGCAAGGATTGCGCCAAGGCCTGCCAAAGAAAGGAACCAGGTTTACGCTTTAGGGTTTACTTGGATGGTTGGGGGGGCATGTGGCAGTAGGAAATGAGAGTGGACATCACCAAACCACTCAGACCTAGGGTTTACGGTTCAAGGTCAGGATGACTTAGTAAGTAGGTTGGTAACTGGGATGAGTAGGGCTACTACCCTAGGATTGGCTCCTTTTCAAATTCTTATGTTTCAAAATCTTTAAAAATTTTGACAGATTTCAAAAAATTCAAATCTTTTAAAAAAATGAAAAGTTGAAAAAAATAAACAAAAAATGTACAAAGGACCACCGTGCCACCTTTTCCAATTGTCCTAGGATTGGCTCCTTTTTATTCGGTTTATGTGTTTTTCATTTTCTAAACATGTATAATTTTTTCAAAGTGTTAAAAATTTCAAAAAAGAATCTTAAGAATTTAGAAAAGGACAACCTGGCCACCTTTTCCAATTCTCCTAGGATTGGCTCCTTTCTAAATTTTCAAAGTGTCTATAAAAATGAATTTCTAGAAGAAAATTAAAATTTTTGAAATCTTCAAATTTGTACAATTCTTTTAGAAAACGAAAAATGTCTAAAAACTTAAAACGTGAAAAAGACCACGCGGCCACCTTTGCCAATTTTCCTAGGATTGGCTCCTTCTTGAACTTTTAAAATTTCGAAAAAAATTCTAGAAATTCTAAACCAAAAAACTTGTAAAACTTTAAAACTTTTCAGAATGTTAAAACTTTTCACAAGTTTACCATTCTCGAAATTTTGAAACGTGCCACCTTTTCAACTTCAAAAAGAATTCTACAATTGTTTAAACACTTTAAATTCTTTACAAATTTCCAAACTCTTCAAAATTTCGAAAACTTTCAAATTTTCAAAAAAAATCTTCAAAATTTTCAAATTCTGAAAATTTCAAACTGTAAAATTCCAAGAATTTTCGAAATTTGGGAAAATTTTTGAAAATTGTAAATTCAAAAGGGTTCGCCTGACCACCATTTCCAAGTTTCTTAGGATTGGCTGCTAAAGTGTTAAAAACTGTTATTTGTTTTTCGAAGTTTTTCATTTTTGGAAAGTTTTCAGTCCTTTCATCTCGATTGGATCAGTAGCAAGGGTCCTCTCTTTCGTATTGGATTCTTGATAGGAGTCCTCTGATGTTCATTCACGTCTTAGGTTAGGAGTACAATTTCAAATATGAATCCTCCCAATTCCACCAGATGCTGGAGAAAAGTCTCCATGTTTAGAGAACACAAAAGTTTGATATAGAAAAGCCACATTCTGAAGATGAGTTCCCGCACTCCTGACAGAGGCTGGGTAGGAGACCTCTTGTTTTAATTAAAAAAAGTTTCGCTGTATCAGATTCTCAATAGGACTCGTCTCATGCATGCTATATTTGCAGGGGACTCTCATTCCTACTAGATTCCTACAAAGAAACCGTTGCTCTCAGTGATGCTTTCTAAAAGTGCTATCATTCCTATTTAGTCCTATTTGAATGTTCAAGCAATTCCTCTCATTCCTGGACCTAACAAATTCCTCATAGAAATCCTGACATTTCTATCAGATTTCAAGTAGCCACCCTTTCAGTGTTTTAAATTCTAAGTAGAACTCTTCTCATTGCCGTGCGATTTTCTTTAGTAGAAACTCCAGAGCTCTGAATAACAAGAACCCCCTCATCCATAATCAATTCAGAATAAACCATCTCTCACTCTCTCTAGCTTCTTAATGGAAGTCTTTTGAACTTTTCATTCATTCATATTAGATGCCTAATGGGTCTTCTATTTCCAGCCATATGCACCCTTTCTATTTGATTTCAATTTTTTCCGTAGAAGTCTTGACATTTCTATCAGATTCCAAGTAGTCGCCTTGTCATTGTATAAAATTTCCCGTAGGACTTTTCTCATTCCCTTTCCTCTGACTAAGAACCCCCTCGCCCATGATGAATTCTGAGTAGGCCTCCTCTCATTCTCTAGCTTCTTCATGGAAGTCTTCTGAACTTTTCACTCATATCAGACTCCCAATGGGTCTTCTACTTCCTATCAAATTCCTCCTTTCTATCTGAGTTTAATGAATGCGCTTAACAGCTCATCAATAACTTCAGACAAGTACCCTCCTTCTCAGTGGATTGTTAATTGAAGTCCTCTCACCTAAGTTAGATTCATAGTAGGGACTTTTTCTCCTTCCTGTTGGATTCTTATTGCGAGTCCTTTCACTTTGACAATGCAGACTTCTCATTCCTTTGAGGCTGTTAAAAGAAGTCCGTTCATTTATATCAAATTCAAAAAAGTTGTGTCATGCCTCTCCATGTTTTAAACGAAGTTCTCATTGCTATTTATTTAGCTATGTATGAGATTCTAGATAGATTCCCTCATGTTCATATGAGATTCTTAATAGCAGTCACTTCATATCCATTAGGTTCAGGAGAAAGTTCTGTCATGCGTCTGAATGTTTAAAAAAAGTGTTCATTCATCATTGTTAAATTCTAAATCGACTTCCTCTTATTCCTATGAAATTCTTAATAGAGGTCTTATTCATGGAAGCTCCATTTCCTGCTGGATGATCTGCTCTCTGTTCTACGGGCTTAGTTTAGCGGCCAGTGATATTTATTTGCAATACGCTAGATTGACGGATACATACTACAGGACACTCAGTTACTAGAAAGGCAGTACTCAAATTATACGTAGAGCTCCATGGCACATATTCCCCTATATAACCCCCTTTAAGGAGTTTGGGGCTTCTCCCCCTAGTACCGATGCCTCGCGGTCGTCACCGCTGGGAACGCCTGTCCCATGGCGTTGGAGCCAATCGGCGCCTTGCAGGGCAAGAAACGGGGCAGCTCCTGAAAACATTTAAGGCTTTCCTAAACATCAGGGGTACTTCAAAGGGGGGTTATAGGGGTTATATAGGGGTAGATAGGGTTTAGGGAGAAGGGCTTAAAATTTCCCCCATACTAGGGACTGTACTATTTGGGGGTCCCCCTATTTAGGGAAACTACCATTTAGTTAGGGATCCCAGGGTTGTGTCAGAGCACTGGACCGATTTGAGGGTTGGGGGTGTAGGGCATAGGTTAAGAGGACCCCCACCCTGTAATAGTAATATAGTAATAGGAATATACAAGGACCCGAATATAATCCTTTTTATCCCTTATACTGACCATAATGAGTGGGGGTCCACCTAAGGTAAAGGGGTTTTGAGGTGTACGGGTTCTGGGGGAAGCTGAAGGCTCAGGCATCAAGATTCCAGTCTTTAAAACTTTGATTTCAACTGTAAAACTTACCACAAAAGATAATAGGGTCATTCCACAGCCCCTTAATCAGATCCCTCAAGGCCTGCCTGCCCCAAGCAGACAGGGAATCCACATAGTGAGGGGTTTAGGGTGTAAGGTTGAGGGACTAGGACTCAGAAGACAACTATCTTTGCCAAGAAAGGTTACTGTTTTTGAACGACAAGTAGAACAATGTAGCGCTCATCCACAAACAAGAAAAGAAAGCAAAGGATTCCGGAGGAGAGCGCATTTCTGCAAAAGAGGAGGCATACACAGACCAAACAGGCCCCCCCTACCATAACATACTACAATCTACTATCATATACTGTAACCTACTATAATAATAAGCTACTACATACCATAGTATAAATGAGATCCCCCCAGCAACCATGAAGCCAAAAATGCGCCCGCATCATGGCTTCCAGCTTTACCGCGGGCTGCCATAATGCACTTCAGATCATCTACGAAAATAAAGGAACCATGTGATTTACTACATCTCCATAGTATCTTAGTTAAATTCCCTACAATACCCTAAACCCTAAACACTACACCCTATACCATACACCCTAAGCCCTATTTACCAGCGACTCAGGTTTAGCATCATCTGCCAAGCCGAGACACCAATTGGCGCTACAGCCCGAGGCGTTTGCATGGCGGCACTAAGAGCAGAGACAAAATGACAACTTCGCTCTTCAAGAACATGGGCTGAAAAAGTACTTGTTATTCTTACTGCTAGTGTTATGATCACTACCACTGATGTTGTTCTTGATTGCAACCTCTCCGTATACATCCTAGGCACAACCGCCATGACTAATGGTTAAGATTCGGCCTGCGGCCATGTCCTTTTTCGTCTCAGTAATGCTTAAAACTTAGGCTCTGCGGTTTACGGAAACCCCCTGATCAGCAATGAACTTCCCCGTTATGGTTCAGAGCTTGAGGGTGGGGCCTAAAGGTTAAGGGTTTAGGGTAAACGGCCCCACTTTGAGCCGATGCATGTCTGAAAGCAAGGCTTCGATAACGTGTAAGAATGGACAATGACCCCAGTTCAAGGCATTTAGGGCTTCAGCTTCCAGATTTAGGCCTGTTGAGTGTTCAGATTCGTCACCACAAGGGCAGCTGAGTTTCATCTCTGATCAGGTTGCGCAGGCTCGATGTAGTGACGTCGCTCTTCTTAACATTCCACTCAACTTCTTCCCATGCAGGCCGTCATGACCAGTGCACCATCCTCGACAGGTAAACTCGTTGCAAATGGCATAGATAGTATTCAGAGACCAGCTACTTCGCGGTAGCGCCCGAAGGAATCGCAGCTAAAACTGCATTCTCCTCCTAATACGATTTGCCAACTCGACTGTACTTGCCGACGAGGGCGCAACTTCACGGTATCTTGACCCTCCAGAACAATCTGCGAATACTAGGTACCCCATCCTGTGATGTAGCTAGCATTAGGTGGCCGTATGTTGTGATTGACCCAAACAAGCCGGTACGCTGAGGACCATGCTTTGCACAAGGTGTCATCGATATGAGCGGACTCCAGAAGGATCAAAGGTCTCAAGTGGCACGTACAGATTTCGGACTGAGGGTGTTAGTGTCAATAAGAGGGAATGACACAGACAGCAGCCAAAGATGCTTGTAGCAATTGCGCTAGCAGCAGCAGTAGCTGGGTAATACTAGTTTTTAATGTAATACTCGCATAGACGCTGTAGTAGTAACCGCTGTAGTACTCGTAGCAGCAGTAGTAATAATAGCAGTAGTACTCGTAGTAGTAAAAGTAGTATAAAGGTAATAAAGGTAGTAAAGGTAGTAGCAGTGCCAGCAGCAGCAGCAGCAGCAGCAGTAGCCATGGTCGTGGTGGTAGAGGCAGAAGCACGAAAATTTGCGGGAGTTCTTGTCGCTGCAATGGCAAAGGAAAGAAGACAGAAGGCGGAGCAATGGCCTGGGCTGCAATCAACATACAGCTTTCTGCTCGTGATATGGCGGGCAAAAAGCTGTTAAAAGGCTTTCGGTGCGGGCAGTCGAGGGGCCTGCACTCAGATTCATAGCACCTTCAGGAAGACCCATTTGAAGGAAGACCCCTTCACTTTCTTCCCGCTGTTGGGTCCCCTACCCCATGCTGAATACATGATTCAGTGCTCTTTCAGGCACCTGCCCCTTACAGCAACTATCCCTGCAAGAGCTGCCTGACAGAGGATCAACTTGAGCTGTTGAAACTTCGTCACCGAAGACGCAAGCCAAGCTTTGGGCCTCAAACTCCTGAAGGCAAGACCTGGACCTGCAGACGCAAAGTCAAAACCACACATGCTAAAACTTAAAGCCTACCTAAAACCGAGGTGTTAGCATAAACCTTTAGCATCCCTTCGACCCTACATAAGCCCTCTAACACAAAGCCCCCAAACCCTGAACCCGAGCTGATGGCTTGACTTCCTCATGCTCCCAAAAGACCTTCATGATGGGTCGCACCTCATGCTTAGAAGTTCTGAAGTTGTTGGGTTTCTTTCGGGAACCTTTGACTGGATATAGTCCCCCTGAAGTAGATAGAATATGGCTTTGGGTATGTTATAATAAGATCCCCATATACCCCATATTCTATCTACTTAAGGGGGACTATATCTGGATATTTGATTCTTGAGATGAGTTGGGTGAGTCTAACTCGGACAACACTGCAAAGGAAACTTGGTGTCTGGTGTTCCCAGCTTGTGTCTTCCAGTTTTGGGACCTGGACCCCGAAACACGTAAGCTGTAGTCTAAACTCCTTACGGGAGTTTTATAGAGGAAAAATGTATGGGTTATTAAGGGGGATACTAGGAGTTTAGACCCTGGCTCACGCAAACAAACAACTAGCACAGGAAATCAAAGGTGGCTGGAAACTAATTGAGGTAAAGACGTAACTCCTACAAGTAGTATCCCCCTTAATTACCCATATAATGTTCCCCTAGATAATCCCCTCTATAACCCTCGTTAGGAGTTTAGCCCTAAACCATAGACCCTACATAGTCCCCTATATAACTGCCTCTTTAAGGACTTTAGAATATATCTCAACTGCTTGCTGCATCTTCCTCAAGGTTTGGATCTCTTATGTCAGACTTTAGGGGGCCGCCTCGTGACCACCCAGGATCTCCACTGGCTCCTCTTTCTATGTACAAGTATAGGGGATCTATATCTACTTAAGGGGGACTACTATATGGTTCCTGCCCTAGAGCATAGTACAGCTTCCTATTCTCTATTGGACTTGAGCATGTATACCAAAAATAGAAAAGTCTAAAAATGTTCCGGACAATTTCCAACTTGTCATTTCCATACCAATGTATTCCCGCAAAGGACCCTTGCAAGGATGTGTCCATGCAAAGGAACCTTGGAAGGATGTGTCACCGGCACCATGAACATGGGACAACACGTCGACGTAGTGAGTTAAGGTTTGGAGTGGCCTGCCCAGACAGCGCGGGGATGGAGGATAGTAGCTGTAGATCCTAGGTGGACACCCTGCTCAGCAAAAAACAAAAATTAAGGGAGACTGGGGTCCTCCAATATTCCTTTCATACCACTATTACAGGGTGGGGGTCCGCCCTAGGTAGACCCAACTTGCTCTACAACTGCTGTTGCCGTTCGCTCTGCTTATTGGTAGGTCTCAGACTCTGCGGCAAAAGCTTTTGAACAAGTGCCTCGAGGCCTGGATCCCATACCCTGGACCACAAGCCCTCCCCTTGACTAGGTTCCCCAGCAACCCCTTAATAAGGGTAACCTTGTCCCAATTTTCAGCTTTCCTAAGGAAGGCCCAAATTACAAAGCGAAAAATAGGTATATACTGTATTCCTGGGGTACCTAGCTAAGAATAGACCACGTCCCAAGGTCTTGGATGATGTTAACTGGGGATTTCTGGGGCAGTAAAGGGGAAGCTTCATGGCTGCAAGGGCTTGGGAAGCCATCCGCTAGCTCCATTTCGGTTTATGGTTTTCTCAGGAAGTCGATTGACGAATTCACATCTAAGCAAAACGTATCAGCGCGGATTCCATGATTCTTTGTGACCGACCAAGTGAGGAGGATCTCTGTAATAACCCTTCAAGATAACATCAAAATGAAGGGGCGGGCTTCAAGCGCATATCATGTTCCACTTTTTAAGACCAACAAGCACCCTCCATGATGTTTTCAAAGCTCTTCAAGCACCCAAATCCTGAAGCCCAAACACGAATGCCAAACCTGACCTTCCCTTCAGAAATCTCATCCCTGTGTATACATGAAGCCAGCAGGCAAGCAAAACCCGAATCAACTTGCAGCGGCAATTTGGCTCCTGGCTATGTGTGGACGTATGATGTACCTGGGCTCAGAGTCTAGCAGTGGTGGGGAGCCTTTAGCAGAGCAACTCTCAGTCTTATCAAACAAGATCTCCCCACGCATCTTTTTGCGCTGGCTCTGCAAATTTTTGCTGGCCACACAGACTCAGGGCTCTGGTAGGGACCCAATGGCTTAGGCGGAAAAAAACGGTACCAATGCGGAGCACGGGAATGAACAACGAGACTGGCTCTCAAAGGCTTCTACAAGTACATGGCATACTG